GACACATACTCTTGGACAATCAGCTCTCAGAGACAGTCTCACATTACACCTACAAAATATTTACAGATCAATGGGTGCTCTTCGTCGGATGGTACAGTCTCTTTTCTCTGCAGTGCAGAAGAGTCACGGTGGGACGAATCCATATGAGAAACCCATACCTCAGTGCTTTTGCAGCACTATATCTGCTTTCACAGAACCACTTAACTTGGGGAGGGATGTGCTTGCTAAGCAGAGGTACAGTCTATGTAGCTTATATGATATGAAGGTATACTGCATATGCCCACAGAGAAACCACTAGGAGTCTGGTATATATATATATATATATATTTATATATATATATATATATATATATATATATAGTATAAATTGTATAACAATTTATATATAAATTGTAATAAGCTGAGGAAGGGGAGGAAACTGATAGCCTCGAAATTTTCAAATAAAGTAATTAATTAGGTGGTAAGTTGGTGAAGCTTAATAGACCTTTGTATCGGACATTCATAGCATGACAGTGTACCTGGTTACTGCTTACCACTAAAATGTCAATCAAAAAACCGTTAAGCAAGGTCTTGTTAGCAAACAAACAAAAAAAAAGTTATCCTCACAAATCTAAGCTTTCACATTACTTGGGAAATATCAGGAAACCATTACCTTCAAATTTTCAAGCAAACTTAACTAAAACATTAAGTTGAAACAAACCGAGACAGTAGTTTGAAGGGAAAACACTGGGGGGTAATTTACCTGTAATATAAAACAAGAAGAGAAGTTTCTTATGAGGTTTAAGTGTGTATTAAAATAATCAAATTAAATAAAAATAAAATTTGAGGTACTACAAATTCAGGGCATAAAACAACCCAAAAACTTTATTATATTTTATTTTTTGCATAATTGAAAAAAGCCAGCATCTCTTTACAATGATAAAATACAGACATTTTCACCTGTTCCTGAACACAGCTCTGATACATATAAGTTAGGTTTACTGTGCTTATTAAGTAAAGTGATCAATTACTTTTTACAATGTACTCACTTAAAAATACATAAGGATATTTGGCCATCTAATTTTGAATAGTTATGGACATAAAACTCAATTTTTTTCTCCTCTTAAAGTTTGCTAACCAATTGGAAACAAAATGTTAAGGTGTTCTGTGAGTCACCTGAGTGTTCACCTAGTGAAGAAACTACTCTTAGAGTGGCAGGTATTTATTTGGCTTTATGTAGCTAATTAAGTGTTTTAGTTATGTTATTATGTTATAGCTTGGCTAGTCCTGCTAACAGCTAGTTTCATTATTACATATTTGCTTTCACCTTTTACGTACATTTTTGTCATTTTAAAAATTTTATTAATTTTTTGCATAATTGAAAAAGCTAGCATCCCTTTACAATGATAATATGCAAACATTTTCACCTGTTCTTGAACAGAGCTCTTAATGTGATCACATAGTAAATCTCTTGAGTCTCTGTGTCTGCCTCACATCGTGAGTGATTAGGTATATTCCCCTGGTGCTTCTGTTTTCTGTAGAGCATCAGTATAATTGATACAGAAATTAGTGTAAATAGTTCATTTACCTTGACAAGCAAATGATGCGCTGAGGGATTGTTTTAATCCTGAGATGTGATTGCCAATCATCCTTTTCAGATGATCTTGATTGGCTGAATCAGATTAGAACAGCTTGTAAAATGGTGCTGTTGTTGCATCTCAGGTGTGTTAGAAAAGGCTACAAGTTAGATTGTGATTTTTATTGTTCTCTGTAGTTCACTGTAGCATGTTCAGAGAGTTACCTGTGATTGATTTTGCAGCATGTGGCACTTGTGGCTGTATCTCTCTGCCCAAACAGAATGATAATGAGCTATGTACCTTCTAGTGTAACAGAAGTCCTTTGATTACTTTAATGAACACACTGTATGTGTGGGTATGGAACACACTGTGATGGTCCCAAGGTGAGCCACTGCAGTAACATCAGTCCACCTCAGTTAAACATGCTTGTACTTTCATATAGATATAAGGAAAATGCTACACAGTTCTGGTCATGGTTACTTGTATCTGTACTTGTTTGGTTACTATTATTTTGAAATTTCTTAGACTATGTAAAAAGCTTAGTTAACATAACCTTTATAGATTTTGAAATGGTACCATTGAATGTGCTGTCCTGGTAAACAAGTTCAGCATCATAAGACATCCCAAAAGAAATGGAGTGGATTCATTGGTTCCTAAAAGGAGGTCTAAATAATCCATTTGATTTTGAGCCTCAGAGGCCATGGAAACAGCTACAGCTTTTCTTAACCATTTGAATGGCCAGGGCCATTCCCATTCCTGTAACTTTAAAATGTCAGCCAGTTACATGTACTTAATAAAAAGCTTAGGATGTAATAAGCCTTGTATTTTGTGGTTTTGTGGTTTACATGTGTCATTGGCTATTGCTTTCCCAGGGCAGGGTTGTGTGTTTTGTGTTATTTGTATTTCCAATTTTTGCATTTGTGTTTGTTTGAGGTCCTGAAAAGTATTCTACAAATGTGTATTGCCCAGTAGTTTGGTTATTTAGAGCTGAGGACTAATGTATCAATTGTCCTTTTTAATAAAATACAATTGCAGAATACGAACAAGCACCTTGTATTGGATTGACCTACCCTTACAGAAGCCTATTTTTGAAGAAGCTTCAACAGAGGGAATTATTATTGTTATTCTTTATTTATTTTTTCTTTTTGTGTTTATTTCTCCCCTCTTTTTGCCACTTGAGTTTGCTTGAGGACTGTTGGCAGCTTGATAAAACCTCAATGTTTTGCACAATCACTCTGTAAATTACTTTTTATGACCACTGCTCATGGCGAGTCCATCATGCATATGCACAACATATTTATCCCTCTAATGTAATTGCATTGTGTGTGTGTGTGCGCGAGTGTGTGTGTGTGGGTTTGTGTGTGAGTGTGTGTGTGTGTGCAAGTGTGTGTGTGTGTGCGAGTGTGTGTGTGTGGGTTTGTGTGTGAGTGTGTGTGCGTGTGAGTGTGTGTGAGTGCCTTTTAACTGCATGGTTTCTAACAGCATATTCACATCTCAATCTGTGCAATATGAAAACATGTCCCTTTGTGCACTAGTAACAATATATTCTGCAGCCTGCTGATCTTTACAGCCTGATGTTATTGTTATTGGGGCAGGGAATTTATGATGAGGATGATTATGATTATTAATATTTGCAGTCATGTTCATAGTGAATAGAAATAGGACAGGAGAGTCAGCCTCCTGAAACTAATCCTGGATTACACTCAGAGCAGAGACTGTGAGCTTATCAGAAAAAAATAAAAAAAATCCAGGAAACACATAGTGAAATATGTGGAGAGGCATGGTGCCTACATCGATGAAGAGATCAACAAGGACAAATGTGTATGTCCCAGTTATGCCTCTCTCTCTCTCTCTCTCTCTCTCTCTCTCTCTCTCTTCTCTTTCATTTTCATATCAAGCCTTTTCTTTACCACCGCTTCTCTTTCTATTTGTTTTATTAATTATGTTTATTTAGAGTAAGATATGGAAGATGAAACACGATTTCATTTCAGCAAGCGATAGAGAGAGAGGAAGATGGAGAGAGATAGAGAGATAGAGCACAAGAGTGTGATATACTGAGAACATAAGGGGGAGGATGTATCTATTTTTAGTAGCAGTTCTTTTAAAGCTATGTTCTGGAACAGTAACTTAAATGCAGAGCTGCTCTGATGTGATGTCTTACTGAATCCCCTGGAAACCATATGCCCTTGCTTATTTACAGGATTGGGATGTAATAGTACACACATATTTGGAATATTGTTTGTCTACATTTTGAAAAGGCATAATTAAGAATACAATTACATTTTAAGTTTTTAGGAGAATACTTTTAGAATACTTACCCACTAAATTAAAAAAATATATATGTATTTGAAAGAAACCCCATCAATGTTTAATTAATTATTTTTAAATTAGTGCAGGGTGTGTAAAGCTGTGCTCGCTAACGATTATGAGTATAATGATGGCTGATATGAAATAAACTCTGTATATAACTGTAAATGTTAATAGTTTGAATGTATGTAGTGGGGACGTTACATATGAATCAAAAGTAATGAAAGTATCTCTTAAATGCTGCTGTTATATCTGTCAAGTGCTGTGTGCCCCAAGTAATTGAGTTAAACATTTGAACATTTAGTGTGAAGTTGAGTAGTATAGCTTTTCACAAGTTGACTTTTGACAAGCTTTGATAAACCCAGTAATGTAATAGCAGGAGCATTATGTAGTATGATAGAATTGTGTAATAATACAAGCCAGTAAAACCAAAATTGTAAATAATAATAATAATAATAATAATAATAATAATAATAATAAAACCTAGTAATTAATAACTTACATAATAATATTTTTAGATTGTCTTGACTGGTAATGTAATCTGTTTTTATAGGCTGAATATATATTGCATCTTATTACCTTACACAAGTATATTTATATTAATAAATATGTTAGATTCAGTTATTTCTACATTTAGACTTTTGCCAATATTACAGTGTGTCCCGCATCACAGTATTACATTATTAGTGATGTTATTATGTCATTGAGTTGTATTACTTTTTCAATTACAAAAAGTGCAAAAAAGTATAAAGTTCATTATATTTTTGGGTGTTAGTACATTTTTAGGAAACCCCTACATTTAAGGTTGTACAAGGTGGTTCAAGGTTTGATCTGTTTAGTTTATTAAGGTCAGGTTTATTTTAACTTGGGCTCATGATTCTTTCATGCCACATGTGACAGTGAAGAAGATAAAAAAGAATGGGAGCATACAGACCACAGTGTGTCGCTCTTGTTCCATGAGCTGTAAATCCAGTGGATATTTGCCCCTCCTCTTTGTATGACCACCTCCCTTTCTTTCTCTTCTCCCTCTCTGTGATTTTTCCCTTTAACCATCTCTACTTTAACCAGTCGCTCGACGGAACTATGAAGGGCTTTCATTTCTTATATATACATGTTAATAGTTTGTAATGTCTATTGTGGTTTCGTTGCTTGAAAGACACTGATGGATGATTCTGGATGTTCAAGATTTATGGAATTTGCCAGAGGTTTGAAAATTACAGAGGAGGAAAGCTGCGCTGTTTTCTTTTGTCTCTCACCATTGCTTACGGCGGATCTTCTGCTCTCCTGGAGATGGTCTTAGTCTCATCCATGATGCTGATTTCTCAGGATTATTCCAATTATTCCATGTAACTGACTTGGATATAGAGCAGCCATGCTGATGCGCGTGCAGAGATATTTAATAGTGGGCTTTTTGGCTTCACATGTCTTGGAGACAGTGTTGGGGCAGATCGCGTATAATGTATTGGAGGAGGTGAAAGTGGGCACTACAGTTGGCAATATAACCAAAGACATCAACCTCTCGCTGAAAGAGTTGACCTCAAGAGAATTCCGTATCGTGTCCAGTTCAAAAAAGGAGTACTTCAGAGTGAATCCAGAGACAGGAGCGCTGCAGGTCAGTGAGAGGATTGACCGAGAGGAGCTGTGCGCGTCCGCACCCTCGTGTTCCGTTAATTTAGAAGCTTTGGTCAATCGACCACTGCAGCTTTACCGGGTAAGAATAAACATTCTTGACGTTAACGATAATTCCCCTGCGTTTCCGGTAAGTTCAGCCTATCTGAACATCACAGAAATCACAGCGGCGGGGGCGCGCTTTCCTTTGCAGAGCGCACATGACGCAGACATTGGGGTCAACTCTTTGAAAACATACAAGCTCGGTTCCAACGAATACTTCACATTAGATATTCAGACACACAGTGATAAAACGATCTCTGCTGAACTGGTGCTTATTAAAGCTCTGGACAGAGAAAAAACTCCGTTTGTTGACCTTTTAGTTACTGCTATTGATGGCGGATCGCCCGCTAGGACAGGGACTTTAAACATTAAGGTAAATGTTTTAGATATCAATGACAACGCTCCTGTGTTTGGCAAGTCATTGTACAAAGTATCCATAGCTGAACATACTGCAGTTGGAACTACAGTCATTAGACTGCAAGCCAAAGATTCAGATGAAGGCTTAAATGGAGAATTAGTTTACTCATTTATTAGCCACACGCCTCAGAATATTCTGGAGAGGTTTGAAATCGACAGGCAAACCGGAGATGTCAGAATAAGAGGTGATATCGATTATGAAGAGAGCAATGCCTATGAAATCCGTGTTCAAGCCACAGATAAGGGTGGTGTGCCTATGTCGGGACACACAAAGCTTTTAGTAGAGGTCTTAGATATTAATGATAACCCACCAAGCGTGACTGTCACGTCGCTCCTTAATCCAGTTGAGGAGAGCGCGGGGAAAGGCACGGTTGTGGCTTTAATGACCGTGAGTGACCCGGACTCCGGTAAAAACGGAGCAGTCAGGTGTCGTCTTGCCGGTTCGAGTCCGTTTAAACTGCAGTCGTCCTTCCAGAATTACTACTCTCTGATTTTAGATGACGTACTCGACCGAGAAAAGGTTACAGAGTATAGCATCACGGTTATAGCGGAAGATGAAGGAACCCCGCAAATGTCCAGTGCAAACGTAATAAACGTACTAGTAGCGGATGTAAATGACAACGCGCCTCGCTTTTCAGATAAGACAGAATATGCTTACCTGAGAGAAAACAGTAAAGCTGGGTCAGTTCTATGCGCACTTAAAGCCTCTGATGCGGATATCGGTGAAAATGCGCTCATAACCTACTCTATACCGCAAACCACCATTAACGGTACACCAGCTTCCTCACTGTTCAAAATCGACGCGTTAACAGGAGAAATACAAAGCATGCAGTCTTTCAATTACGAGGAAACGAAAACGTTTCAGTTTAAAGTTCAGGCCACAGACTCTGGAGCTCCTCCACTGAGCAGTAACGTGAGTGTGAACGTTTTTATCCTGGATGAAAATGACAACAGTCCCGGGATTCTCGCGCCCTATTCTGAGCACGGCTCCGTTAACACCGAGAACATTCCCTATTTTGCTGAAGCGGGCTACTTTGTGGCCAAGATCAGGGCTGTAGACGCGGATTCCGGTTATAACGCGCTGCTTTCTTATCACATCTCTGAACCCAAAGGAAACAACCTGTTCCGGATCGGAAGCAGCAGCGGGGAGATCAGGACTAAGAGGAGAATGAGTGACAATGACCTGAAAACCCACCCGCTGGTCATTGTGGTCTCTGATAGCGGAGAGCCCCCACTGTCAGCCACTGTGTCTATTGATGTCGTGGTGGTCGAAAGCACAGGTGACATCCAGACTCAGTTCAAACACGCTCCGATAAAGGAGGAGAGCTTCTCGGATCTAAACCTGTATCTGCTGATCGCCATTGTGTCAGTTTCAGTCATCTTTTTACTGAGCCTCATCAGTTTAATAGCAGTAAAATGCTGCAGGACAGACGGCAGTTTCAGCAGGTACAGCGCCCCGGTGATCACCACACACCCTGATGGGAGCTGGTCTTACTCCAAATCCACTCAGCAGTACGACGTGTGTTTTAGCTCCGACACTCTGAAGAGTGACGTAGTGGTTTTCCCTGCGCCATTTCCGCCTGCAGATGCGGAACTGATCAGTATTAATGGAGGAGACACTTTTACCAGAACACAAACTCTCCCTAATAAAGAGAAGGTAAGATAATAAATACTGTTTATTATGAAGGAAACGTTGTTATGTAAGAATTTTAACAAGTTGCTAAAGAGAGTGAACGCTACAGTGTAGTGTTAAGTGCTGTCCGTGGTGCTGAAACTCCGAGATTATTTTTTTTTTTTTTTGCTTTTTTGCGTTTGTAGAAATAAACCATGTAATTCTGCAAACATTTCATAGAAGTTTATTTATTTATTTATTCATTAATTTATGACTCACACTCAGATACTCATAATTAATTTACAGTAACGTCCATTTTCTGTACACCAACTTTATGGTCAATTATTTAATAGATAATGATAGATAATAATATGCGTGTGTTTGATTCGCATTATTGCTTTCCTTAAACAAAGCTAGCAGTAGTGCTTTTCCATGAACATCTACACACGATGTCGCTGTTGACCGCTGAATCGAAAATCTCTTGTGCCTCCCTCCGTGTCCCTCCCGGATAAAATGGGGAGGAGTTTTCTTTGGGCTTTGTTTCGAAGACTGTGGATGCGTGTGCAATCACATATGCTCTGTTGTGTGATATTTTAGAAGAAATGTCGACCAGCATCGTGATTTCGGAGTTCAAGAAGGTTGGATTTTCTATAAATCGTATTGTGGATTGATACGCCGTCAATATCTGATGCAACAATGGCGTTACGCGGTAGACGAACATGCATTGTGAGGTATCTTGTGCTTGTCCTGTTTGAGTGCTGCTGGGACGCGGTTACGGGGCAGCTCTCCTACTCCGTGTCAGAGGAGGCGAATCCCGGGACAACAGTGGGAAATATTGCGAAGGATTTAAACCTTAATGTTCAGGAGCTGGAATCGCGAATGTTTCAGATTGTCACCGGATCGAAGAGAAAATATTTCGAGGTAAATCTAAAGACTGGGTTTCTGTATGTGAACGAGAAAATAGATAGAGAAGAGCTTTGTGCTAAAACGCTCAAGTGCACAGTCAGTGTAGAGGCAGTTATTAACAACCCTTTGAAGCTGTACCGAATGGAGATTAATATTTTGGACGTTAACGATAATGCTCCCACTTTCAGTGAAAAATCACAGACGCTGGACATCGCAGAAAACGCTCTGCCTGGTGTCAGACTCCCTCTGCCTCACGCCACCGACTTAGATGTTGGTAAAAATACTGTTAGTACGTACAAGCTAAGCTCAAATGATTACTTCACCTTAGCGACAACCAAAGGAGCAGAGCACAGCGTATCTGCTGAGTTAGTGCTGCAGAAAGCTTTAGATCGAGAGAAACAGGCTGCAATTCAGCTCATACTGACTGCTGTAGATGGAGGTACTCCCCCCAAATCAGGGACGTCGCAGATTGTTGTGAATGTTTTAGATATAAATGACAATGCGCCAGTATTCAGTAGGCCTCTCTACAAAACGTCTATTTTTGAAAATGTTCCTGTTGGCACAACAGTTGTCGTATTAAATGCGACAGACAGCGATGAAGGGACGAACAGTGAGCTTTACTACTCAATAATTAAAAGAGATCAGGATGAAATCTTACAGATTTTTGATATTGACCCAAAAACCGGAGTGATAACAATAAAGGGAGAGGTAGATTTTGAGAAAAACAATGCGTTTGAAATCCGCGTGCAAGCCAGTGACAAAGGACAGCCTCCGGTGTCTACACACTGCAAAGTGCTGGTCGAGGTCCTAGATCTAAACGACAACGCGCCCGAAATAACAGTAACATCGCTGCTACAGACTGTGAAGGAAGACGCCAAAGCTGGGACAGCTATTGCGCTCGTGTCAGTGACTGACAGAGACGGTGGTAAAAATGGCATGGTGAACTGTATTGTCTCTAACACAGCGCCCTTTAAACTTGAGACCAACTATAAAAATTATTATTCTCTAGTCGTGAATGGCCCTCTAGACAGAGAGAGCGTTTCTCAATATAACGTTACTATTATAGCTACTGATGAAGGGACCCCACCTCTCTCTAGTTCCACTGTAATTACTGTACACGTTTCTGATGTGAATGATAACCCGCCTCGCTTTCCAGAGCCCGTCATTAATGTTTATGTGAAAGAGAACAGTCAGATAGGAGCTGTAATTCATACAGTATCTGCTTTTGATCCTGATGTAGGTGATAATGCCAGAATATCATATTCACTAATAGAAAATTCTAGCCCAGTGTCATCTCTGGTGAACATAAACTCTGACAGTGGAGATATTCACAGTTTACAGTCTTTTAACTATGAAGAGATGAAAACGTTTCAGTTTAAAGTTCAGGCCACAGACTCTGGAGCTCCTCCACTGAGCAGTAACGTGAGTGTGAACGTTTTTATCCTGGATGAGAATGACAACAGTCCCGGGATTCTCGCGCCCTATTCTGAGCACGGCTCCGTTAACACCGAGAACATTCCCTATTCTGCTGAAGCGGGCTACTTTGTGGCCAAGATCAGGGCTGTAGACGCGGATTCCGGTTATAACGCGCTGCTTTCTTATCACATCTCTGAACCCAAAGGAAACAACCTATTCCGGATCGGAAGCAGCAGCGGGGAGATCAGGACTAAGAGGAGAATGAGTGACAATGATCTGAAAACCCACCCGCTGGTCATTGTGGTCTCTGATAGCGGAGAGCCCTCACTGTCAGCCACTGTGTCTATTGATGTCGTGGTGGTCGAAAGCACAGGTGACATCCAGACTCAGTTCAAACACGCTCCGATAAAGGAGGAGAGCTTCTCGGATCTAAACCTGTATCTGCTGATCGCCATTGTGTCGGTTTCAGTCATCTTTTTACTGAGCCTCATCAGTTTAATAGCAGTAAAATGCTGCAGGACAGACGGCAGTTTCAGCAGGTACAGCGCCCCGGTGATCACCACACACCCTGATGGGAGCTGGTCTTACTCCAAATCTACTCAGCAGTACGACGTGTGTTTTAGCTCCGACACTCTGAAGAGTGACGTAGTGGTTTTCCCTGCGCCATTTCCGCCTGCAGATGCGGAACTGATCAGTATTAATGGAGGAGACACTTTTACCAGAACACAGACTCTCCCTAATAAAGAGAAGGTAAGATAATAAATACTGTTTATTCTGAAGGAAACGTTGTTATGTAAGAATTTTAACAAGTTGCTAAAGAGAGTGAACGCTACAGTGTAGTGTTAAGTGCTGTCCGTGGTGCTGAAACTCCGAGATTATTATTATTATTATTATTTTTACTTTTTTGCGTTTGTAGAAATAAACGCTGTAATTCTGCAAACATTTCATAGAAGTTTATTTATTTATTTATTTATTTTATTTATTTATTCATTAATTTATGACTCACACTCAGATACTCATAATTAATTTACAGTAACGTCCATTTTCTGTACACCAACTTTACGGTCAATTTTTTATTTTACATATTTATTTTTTCTGTGTTATTTAATAGATAATGATAGATAATAATATGCGTGTGTTTGATTCGCATTATTGCTTTCCTTAAACAAAGCTAGCAGTAGTGCTTTTCCATGAACATCTACACACGATGTCGCTGTTGACCGCTGAATCGAAAATCTCTTGTGCCTCTCTCCGTGCCCCTCCCGGATAAAATGGGGAGGAGTTTTCTTTGGGCTTTGTTTCGAAGACTGTGGATGCGTGTGCAATCACATATGCTCTGTTGTGTGATATTTTAGAAGAAATGTCGACCAGCATCGTGATTTCGGAGTTCAAGAAGGTTGGATTTTCTATAAATCGTATTGTGGATTGATACGCCGTCAATATCTGATGCAACAATGGCGTTACGCGGTAGACGAACATGCATTGTGAGGTATCTTGTGCTTGTCCTGTTTGAGTGCTGCTGGGACGCGGTTACGGGGCAGCTCTCCTACTCCGTGTCAGAGGAGGCGAATCCCGGGACAACAGTGGGAAATATTGCGAAGGATTTAAACCTTAATGTTCAGGAGCTGGAATCGCGAATGTTTCAGATTGTCACCGGATCGAAGAGAAAATATTTCGAGGTAAATCTAAAGACTGGGTTTCTGTATGTGAACGAGAAAATAGATAGAGAAGAGCTTTGTGCTAAAACGCTGAAGTGCACAGTCAGTGTAGAGGCAGTTATTAACAACCCTTTGAAGCTGTACCGAATGGAGATTAATATTTTGGACGTTAACGATAATGCTCCCACTTTTAGTGAAAAATCACAGACGCTGGACATCGCAGAAAACGCTCTGCCTGGTGTCAGACTCCCTCTGCCTCACGCCACCGACTTAGATGTTGGTAAAAATACTGTTAGTACGTACAAGCTAAGCTCAAATGATTACTTCACCTTAGCGACAACCAAAGGAGCAGAGCTCAGCGTATCTGCTGAGTTAGTGCTGCAGAAAGCTTTAGACCGAGAGAAACAGGCTGCAATTCAGCTCATACTGACTGCTGTAGATGGAGGTACTCCCCCCAAATCAGGGACGTCGCAGATTGTTGTGAATGTTTTAGATACAAATGATAATGCGCCAGTATTCAGTAGGCCTCTCTACAAAACGTCTATTTTTGAAAATGTCCCCGTTGGCACAACAGTTGTCGTATTAAATGCGACAGACAGCGATGAAGGAGTGAATAGTGAGATTTCCTATTCCATAACCAAAAGAGATCAGGATGAAATCCGACAGATTTTTCATATCGATCCAAAAACTGGAGCGATAACAATAAAAGGAGAAGTAGATTTTGAGAAAAACAATGCGTTTGAAGTCCGTGTGCAAGTCAGTGACAAAGGACAGCCTCCACTGGCTGCACACTGCAAAGTGCTGGTCGAGGTCCTAGATCTGAACGATAACGCGCCCGAAATAACAGTAACATCGCTGCTACAGACTGTGAGGGAAGACGCCAAAGCTGGGACAGCTATTGCGCTCGTGTCAGTGACTGACAGAGACGGTGGTAAAAATGGCATGGTGAACTGTATTGTCTCTAACACAGCGCCCTTTAAACTTGAGACCAACTATAAAAATTATTATTCTCTAGTCGTGAATGGCCCTCTAGACAGAGAGAGCGTTTCTCAATATAACGTTACTATTATAGCTACTGATGAAGGGACCCCACCTCTCTCTAGTTCCACTGTAATTACTGTACACGTTTCTGATGTGAATGATAACCCGCCTCGCTTTCCAGAGCCCGTCATTAATGTTTATGTGAAAGAGAACAGTCAGATAGGAGCTGTAATTCATACAGTATCTGCTTTTGATCCTGATGTAGGTGATAATGCCAGAATAACATATTCATTACTCGACAATTCTAGCCCAGTTTCATCTCTGGTGAACATAAACTCTGACAGTGGAGATATTAACAGTTTACAGTCTTTTAACTATGAAGAGATGAAAACGTTTCAGTTTAAAGTTCAGGCCACAGACTCTGGAGCTCCTCCACTGAGCAGTAACGTGAGTGTGAACGTTTTTATCCTGGATGAAAATGACAACAGTCCCGGGATTCTCGCGCCCTATTCCGAGCACGGCTCCGTTAACACCGAGAACATTCCCTATTCTGCTGAAGCGGGCTACTTTGTGGCCAAGATCAGGGCTGTAGACGCGGATTCCGGTTATAACGCGCTGCTTTCTTATCACATCTCTGAACCCAAAGGAAACAATCTGTTCCGGATCGGAAGCAGCAGCGGGGAGATCAGGACTAAGAGGAGAATGAGTGACAATGACCTGAAAACCCACCCGCTGGTCACTGTGGTCTCTGATAGCGGAGAGCCCTCACTGTCAGCCACTGTGTCTATTGATGTTGTGGTGGTCGAAAGCACAGGTGACATCCAGACTCAGTTCAAACACGCTCCGATAAAGGAGGAGAGCTTCTCGGATCTAAACCTGTATCTGCTGATCGCCATTGTGTCGGTTTCAGTCATCTTTTTACTGAGCCTCATCAGTTTAATAGCAGTAAAATGCTGCAGGACAGACGGCAGTTTCAGCAGGTACAGCGCCCCAGTGATCACCACTCACCCTGATGGGAGCTGGTCTTACTCCAAATCTACTCAGCAGTACGACGTGTGTTTTAGCTCTGACACTCTGAAGAGTGACGTAGTAGTTTTCCCTTCGCCATTTCCGCCTGCAGATGCGGAACTGATCAGTATTAATGGAGGAGACACTTTTACCAGAACACAGACTCTCCCCAATACAGAGAAGGTAAGAAAAAATAATTTAATGTAAAATATGAAAAAGAACATTGTCATGTATTTTTTTTTATTTTTATTATTATTATTTTTTTTTTTTTGTGAAAGTTTCCATTAGGTTACTTTGGTATGCTGGCGTATGAGGTCTGTGCTGTGTAGGCTATCAGTGTGGCGCTGTAATGATGCTGAAATGTTTATTTGTTGCGTGTTGGTACATGTTGTTTTAATATAGGTATAGTTCAGCTGTTTGAACACACACACACACACACACACACACACACACACACACACACACAAATACACGTACTTTGGTTCTCCTTACCTTTTCTAGACCGGCCCACTGCTGCAGCTCCTCACATTGACATTCAAAGAAGTCTTTTACTATCTTTTCTTATTTATTATTATTTTTATTTTAATTTTGCGTCATCTTTTAGTAATGTTCAGATTTTTAATCACCCCTGTATAATTTCTCCATCTCTCTCTAGCTGGCCTTCACGGTTTAACTATCCTCGTTATTTTAATTGTTCTGTCTTTTGGGGGCGGCAACGGCATTTGCGTGATTGGCCAGTGGCCATAGCCTGAGAAGACAGTTGGCTCCTAACGTGTATGAATAGTTGCACTCTAGTATTCACCCAGCACAGGGCGTTTGTCCCAGGCGGTGTCCATTAATTTTATATAGGACTACATTAGAAAAGTCCGAGGTCACTGTCCATGGTTCTGAACATTTGGCAGTTTTCTTTAATTGGCACTTGAGACTACCTGCTTGACTAATTATTAATGGCAGTTTTTTGTAGTTATCCCATCATTGCGAGCAGTCATTATTAATTAATGATCTTATTTTATTCTTTTTGATTCACTTTTTTTTTGCAATAACATATGAAATGTAGATTTATGCACATTATGAATGTGTTAAAAGACAAAACAGTGAAACAAGTGATTCACTGAATTTACTTGATTCAAATGTAAGCATCATTTTCACCTGAAGAAAACATACTGCATCAACTTCATTTTGTTTCAGCATACCTACTACTGGTACATTTGCAATTGTTGTGTTGGCTTAATAGAGTTAATTCCTAAAGATATAACAGATTCACTTGGATCAGTGATATTCAGTGCAGCACTCTTTCAGTGTAGGCTGTTGCTAATGTAGAATATTTGATAATGAAAGATTTTATTGAGTATAAGAAGTTTTTACATATTTCTTTGCTAAATAATCAATTTTTATTTTCAGCCTTACCGGAGGAGTGTTGCTAATCATTTATTTGCAAATAATTGAAATATGGTGGTATGACTGTACTTGGATGTTCCACTTTAGGTTCTTTATAGGTGCTCACAATGTCTTTAACTGGCATTCAACTAAATATCTATTAAGTTAATCTTAACTTCTAACTCTAAATATGTGTGCTCTACTAACCATAATCCTAACATTTTTCGTAGTTAGTTATGTTTGACCAGATAGCTTTTTAACACTTTAGGCATTCATATAGAGAAACATCAAGATAAACGATGACCAGGTTGTTTTACATATATAAAATAGAAAGAAAAGGTTTCAACGGTATACATCTCCAAATGTTAGAGTACCGTTCTCGAGACATTTTGAGACATTGCATACTTTAGGTCTCATTCATACACACAGTATGAGCAAGCTGCATGGTGCAATGGTGCTCTGTTGAAAATAGGTGCTGTACATACACTGGGCACAAGGAGTCGCTGTAGACCACAGAAATGAGAAATCGCGTTTGCGTTCTTAAGCTCCTCCTAACGGGTGGCTAACAGAGGAGAAGAGCGAGCCTCCGTGCTTTGTTCAGTGAAGTGGAGTGAGGTGAACACAGTGAGGGACCGACTCTGTGCTCAATCGCAACATCGGGTATTTTTTTGCGGAAATCTCACCCAGAAAAATGAGAGCGTTTGGATGTTAGTTTCTCTGAGTCGTGTTCAGCCGCAATGGCTTGTTATGGACGAAGACAGAGGGTGTGGATTTGGTTTGTCCGGTTGCTTTGTTTTCTGGACGTGTGCGCTGCGCAGACATCTTACTCCGTCTCGGAGGAGGTCGATAAAGGGACAATTGTGGGAAATATCGCAAAGGATTTACACATAAATGTACAAGAACTCGAGTCGAGAGGACTGCGGATTGTATCGGGACACAGTAAGAGATATTTTGATGTGAATTTAAAAACGGGAGTGCTCTTTGTCAATGAGAGGATAAACAGAGAGGAGCTTTGTGGTAACGCAGCCAAGTGCTCTATGAATATCGAAGCCATATTAAGTGACCCTATGCATCTGCAGCGAGTTGAAGTAAATATTTTAGACGTAAATGATAATGCGCCATCTTTCCATGAAACTTTGTACATTCTTAATATTTCTGAAGTAGCATATACTGGAGAAAGATTTCCTTTACCAGTAGCAAGCGACGCAGATTCAGGCAGTAATTCTATTAAGAACTATAAGCTCAGCTCGAATGAACACTTCTCTCTGGATGTGCAGAGTGGTGGAGAGCAGAGTGTATCTGCTGAGTTAGTACTACAGAAAGCTTTAGATCGAGAAAAACAGGCTGTGATACAGCTCACACTGACCGCAGTGGACGGAGGAAAACCTGCTAAATCTGGTACACTACGAATAGTAGTGAATGTTGAAGATGCGAATGATAATATACCGTCTTTTAGTAAACCGCTTTATAAAGTCCGTGTGGCTGAAAACAGTCCATTGGGAAGCACTGTAATTAAACTGGAAGCTACAGATTTAGACGAGGGTGTAAACGGAGAACTAGTGTACTCTATATCAGCGGGAGGGAGTTCAAAGATCTCTGATCAGTTTGCAATAGACACAGTAACTGGTGAAATTACTATAAAGGGAAAGTTGGATCATGAAGAAAATCCAGCATATGAAATTCGTGCGCAGGCGAGAGACAAAGGCACCCCCTCCCGAGTGACACACTGTAAAGTGCTGGTTGAAGTTCTGGACGTTAACGACAACGCACCAGAGATCACTGTGTCGTCTGTGATGAGTCCAGTAAAAGAGGACTCTACATTAGGCACAGTAGTGGCGTTAGTTACAGTGACAGATAAAGACAGTGGAAAAAATGGAGAGGCTAAAGCACACGTTTCAGATTCTGTTCCATTTAAGCTGAAACCATCCTACAAAAATTACTATTCGTTAGTTGTCGATGGTCCTTTAGACAGAGAGAGAACATCTCAGTATAACATTACTATAACAGCTACTGATGAAGGGACCCCACCACTTTCCAACACCAGTTTTATTATTGTGGATGTTTCTGATGTGAATGACAACCCGCCGCGTTTTCCAGAGCCCGTCATTAATGTTTATGTGAAAGAGAACAGTCAGATAGGAGCTGTAATTCATACAGTATCTGCTTTTGATCCTGATGTGGGTGACAGTGCTAAATTATCATATTCACTAATAGAAAATTTCAGCCCAGTATCATCTCTGGTGAACATAAACTCTGACAGTGGAGATATTCACAGTTTACAGTCTTTTAACTATGAAGAGATGAAAACGTTTCAGTTTAAAGTTCAGGCCACAGACTCTGGAGCTCCTCCACTGAGCAGTAACGTGAGTGTGAACGTTTTTATCCTGGATGAGAATGACAACAGTCCCGGGATTCTCGCGCCCTATTCTGAGCACGGCTCCGTTAACACCGAGAACATTCCCTATTCTGCTGAAGCGGGCTACTTTGTGGCCAAGATCAGGGCTGTAGACGCGGATTCCGGTTATAACGCGCTGCTTTCTTATCACATCTCTGAACCCAAAGGAAACAACCTGTTCCGGATCGGAAGCAGCAGCGGGGAGATCAGGACTAAGAGGAGAATGAGTGACAATGACCTGAAAACCCACCCGCTGGTCATTGTGGTCTCTGATAGCGGAGAGCCCCCACTGTCAGCCACTGTGTCTATTGATGTCGTGGTGGTCGAAAGCACAGGTGACATCCAGACTCGGTTCAAACACGCTCCGATAAAGGAGGAGAGCTTCTCGGATCTAAACCTGTATCTGCTGATCGCCATTGTGTCGGTTTCAGTCATCTTTTTACTGAGCCTCATCAGTTTAATAGCAGTAAAATGCTGCAGGACAGACGGCAGTTTCAGCAGGTACAGCGCCCCAGTGATCACCACACACCCTGATGGGAGCTGGTCTTACTCCAAATCTACTCAGCAGTACGACGTGTGTTTTAGCTCCGACACTCTGAAGAGTGACGTAGTGGTTTTCCCTGCGCCATTTCCGCCTGCAGATGCGGAACTGATCAGTATTAATGGAGGAGACACTTTTACCAGAACACAGACTCTCCCTAATAAAGAGAAGGTAAGGAAAAATAATTTTAAAATATGTCTAAGGTATACCGTTCACTTTTCTGTTTGGCCATTTTGGCACGTTGAAAAATGAGACTGGCGCAGGGTCCGGTGCTGTCCGTGGTGCTGAAACAAGAATTTACATTTACATATTCATTATGTTGTTGTGTCTTGCTCCTTCCTTCACATTAATTCACAGGTGAGCGTTTCTACAGCATTTTCATACACAATCTTTAAATTGTGTTATAACAGTATTGTATTTTTCTCTGTTGTTCCAGTAATGAACATCCTGCTTTTATGCTTAGCTTCTTAAATAGTGAATATCATATAAGTTTTACTATTAACTGCATATCACCATTTTTAATAATTTCTCCATCCTGGTGTGTTACTTTCTAAATTGATGTGACAAAGGTTTGGGATTATTTCAGTTGAAATATATTTTTAACTTATCCTTTTCCGAAATATAATGAAAGCATTTTCTTGTTTTGGTTCCTTCTATCTTGTTTCACTTTTTCTAGTTAATGCATAACATTTACAGAAAAAAGGTGAATACAATCGACTCTATATTTTGCGTTTTACGTGTCATATTTGATATTTCCTTTGGGCAATATTAAACATATATACATGCGCGATATGGGTTTTTGCATCTTTTATCAGTTTTTTAGTACGTAGTGGGAAAAGAACATGTTAGGAGAAGTTTGAATTTGGGTTGTTATTTTTTGGAGCGTGTTGATAAGTAATGCAGGACTGTTTGACTGTATTTGATGCTTTGCATTGCATAGACTTTTGGAGGTGCATTCCGGAAGTTTCCACACGGTGTCACCAACGATCTGTGCTTGTATTTCTCTTGATCCACACTCCGCCTTTTTTGGGGCAGGGCGTTTATGTTCTTTCAGGGCTTTGTTCAGACGGTGCTACAACAAGGAAGGTTTTTATGAGCTGTCTCAGAAATGGATTAAAACACAGAACAATTCGCATGGATTTCTGCGTTGTTTTTTGGATGTTTTGACAGTGGAATATGGCAGAAATGGTCGAAACAGCATATCTGTCGTGGATTATTTTTGCTTGGGCTTGGTGTCTTCTCAGCATAGTGAATGGGCAGGTTGTGTACTCCGTATCGGAGGAGAGCAATCCGGGGACAACGGTGGGTCATTTAGCCAAAGATTTGAACCTCAATGTACAAGACTTGGAGCTCCGGGGATTTCAGCTTGTTTCGGGACCTAATACAAGGTATTTCGATTTAAATATGAAAACTGGAGTTCTTCATATTAAAGACAGATTAGACCGTGAAGAGCTGTGTGGACGGACTTCGAAATGTGCCTTGGAATTAGAGGCTATTGTTAATTCACCGTTGAATATGTATCGTTTTGAGGTGAATGTGTTAGACATAAATGACCACGCGCCAACATTTCGCTCTGCAAAAAGAGAACTGAATATTTCTGAATCTGCTACTCTTGGAGACAGATTTGCATTACCGAGTGCGTATGATCCTGATGTGGGCAGTAACTCGGTAAAGAGCTACAAGCTGAGCCCGAATGAACACTTCTCTCTGGATGTACAGAGCGGAGGAGAGCAGAGTGTATCTGCTGAGTTGGTGCTGCAGAAAGCTTTAGACCGAGAGAAACAGCCTGTGGTCCAGCTCATACTGACCGCTGTAGACGGAGGGAAACCTCCCAGATCAGGGACTTTAAATATAAAAGTAAATGTAATGGATGTGAATGATAACACCCCCGTGTGCGATAAACCACTTTATAAGGCTCGAATTTCGGAAAATTCACCATCTGGCACATCTGTTATTACAGTTCATGCGAATGATGCGGATGACGGGCCGAATGGAGAAATTGTTTATTCGTTCGTAAATCACGATAATGACGGAATAATTGATTCTTTCGCCATTAATTCTGAAAGCGGTGAAATCACAGTGAAGGGAGAGCTGGACCACGAGATAAACAGTGCAGCTGAAATACGAGTCCAGGCAAAAGACAAAGGGCCAAATCCGAGGTCAGCGTTTTGCAAAATACTAGTTGAAATACTTGATGTCAATGATAATTATCCAGAAATATCTGTAACATCACTAGTTAACGTCGTTACAGAAGATTCGCCAGACGGAACAATGGTCGGTTTACTAACAGTCAAAGATAAGGATGCCAATAAAAACGGTGCTGCCATGCTAAAGTTAGAAGGATCTGTACCTTTTACTCTACAGAATACCTATAAAAATAGATATTCTTTAACTGTGAAAGGACATCTAGACAGAGAAACGGTGGCTCAATATAATATCACTATTATAGCGAATGATGAAGGGACCCCACCTCTCTCCAGCTCCTCTGTACTTACTGTTCAAGTTTCTGATGTGAATGACAACCCGCCGCGCTTTCCAGAGCCCGTCATTAATGTTTATGTGAAAGAAAACAGTCAGATAGGAGCTGTAATTCATACAGTATCTGCTTTTGATCCTGATGTAGGTGACAATGCCAGAATAACATATTCGTTGCTAGAAAACTCTAAAAGCACCTCAGTTTCATCTCTGGTGAACATAAACTCTGACAGTGGAGATATTCACAGTTTACAGTCTTTTAACTATGAAGAGATGAAAACGTTTCAGTTTAAAGTTCAGGCCACAGACTCTGGAGCTCCTCCACTGAGCAGTAACGTGAGTGTGAACGTTTTTATCCTGGATGAGAATGACAACAGTCCCGGGATTCTCGCGCCCTATTCTGAGCACGGCTCCGTTAACACCGAGAACATTCCCTATTCTGCTGAAGCGGGCTACTTTGTGGCCAAGATCAGAGCTGTAGACGCGGATTCCGGTTATAACGCGCTGCTTTCTTATCACATCTCTGAACCCAAAGGAAACAACCTGTTCCGGATCGGAAGCAGCAGCGGGGAGATCAGGACTAAGAGGAGAATGAGTGACAATGACCTGAAAACCCACCCGCTGGTCATTGTGGTCTCTGATAGCGGAGAGCCCTCACTGTCAGCCACTGTGTCTATTGATGTTGTGGTGGTCGAAAGCACAGGTGACATCCAGACTCAGTTCAAACACGCTCCGATAAAGGAGGAGAGCTTCTCGGATCTAAACCTGTATCTGCTGATCGCCATTGTGTCGGTTTCAGTCATCTTTTTACTGAGCCTCATCAGTTTTAATAGCAGTAAAATGCTGCAGGACAGACGGCAGTTTCAGCAGGTACAGCGCCCCAGTGATCACCACACACCCTGATGGGAGCTGGTCTTACTCCAAATCCACTCAGCAGTACGACGTGTGTTTTAGCTCCGACACTCTGAAGAGTGACGTAGTGGTTTTCCCTGCGCCATTTCCGCCTGCAGATGCGGAACTGATCAGTATTAATGGAGGAGACACTTTTACCAGAACACAGACTCTCCCTAATACAGATAAGGTAAGAAGTGAAATTTTTACCTGCTTGTCTGGTATGTTCTAATTTCATCTTCAGGATGTTTTGAATCATTTTTGTCCAGTGGTGCCATTTTTAAAGTCATTTTTCTCTTATTTTTGCTGCGCATCTGACTTATGTTTATGAACATGTCACCGTGACTGTGCCTTCAAATATTTCAAAATCTTTACGGTTCTGTTTTCCGGTTTTGTTTAATGTTAGACCTACAGAATACATTTTATTGGCTATTTCATTGTGCTCATTACATCAGTTAGAACATTTGTCCTATAACATACTACGTCTTATACAAATTGTACACATATTGTATGATCCACTGTCTTTTGGTAGAGTCGAAGATAATATTTTTAGTTTGTAGTGTATAATTTATTTTTTTTTCCGAGTAGTAATAGAGAATGGTGCTGTCCGTGGTGCTGATTTCTTCTTACGAGCTCTTAGGTCCACAGGCTCCATTTGTATGTTTTAATAATGATTAAGCATTTCTTTACAAGTTTTTTCAATATGCATGTACGTTGTGTGAAGTCTGTTTGGTCTCTTTATTGCTTTCTTGAGGTTTTCGTGGTGCGAATGCGATCACAGCAGTTTCTTTATTCACTTCTGATCAGGGCTACATCATTTTTATTTTTTCCACTTTCCCCTTTTCATGCCATCATTCACATTTTGAAATATTTTCAATATCTGTAGGATTAGTTAGACTCATTATTTATAGTAGACTTTTTGCATCTCGGTTTCATAAATATTCATTCTAAAAACTAATGTTGTTATTATTATTATTATTATTATTATTATTTTACTTTAAAATAAGCAAGCTTGCTGCCTTAAAATTTTAGTTTTATTGACTTTCGAATTATGATTTAACAGAATGTAACGCAGATGAGTATTGCTCTGTTGACGTACTAGTTGTTCAATAAACCTGAAATTTCAAGACAGCTAATTTACTCACTTTTATAAGCTAAAATGATTTGCTTGTTAAGTTCTTTCTGGAAAATGAAAATAAATAAATGATGTTAACTAATAATAGCTTATAAATTCTTCTATCATATAAATCATTATTTTATACATCCACAATATGCTAGAATTAAATAATGCAAAATCAACAGTTTTATTTTTTTCAAACAAACGTAAATAATTTCTACACTTCAATTAGAAGGTTTCATAATATGGCTTGCACTGTATTTGTGCACGTGGTGTCGCTCTAGACCATGAAAGTGAGAAAAGTGGTGACGTCCTCAGGCTCCTCCTCTGATGTGGTCAGTTGAGCAGAGCAGGGAACTCCGCGCTTTGTTCGTTGAATCACGGGTTGGTGGAAACAATAGCCAAGCTTCGCTGTAGACTGAATATAAGAAAAAGAATTATAATGATGGAATTATTGAAAGATTGATTACGAGACGTGAGTGTCGTCCTGTCTAATGCTTCTCCTGCCGCAATGGTCTCTCCCGGACAAAGAAAGAGGCTGTGGACTTTATGCTTCGCACCGCTTTGCTTCTTGGAATTGTGCGCTGCGCAGATTTTGTACTCCATTTCGGAAGAGATCAGTAAAGGGACATTTGTAGGAAATATCGCAAAAGATTTAAACATTAACGCGCATGAGCTGGAGTCGAGAGGACTGCGGATCGTATCGGGGCACAGTAAGAGGTATTTTGATGTGAATTCGAAAACGGGAGTGCTCTTTGTCAATGAGAGGATAGACAGAGAGGAGCTGTGTGGTAATGCAGAAAAGTGTTCGGTGAATATAGAAGCTATTCTTAGCAACCCTATGCAGCTTCACAGAATAGAGTTGAATATTTTGGACATAAATGACAATGCGCCATCTTTCCATGAAATGCTGTACACGCTTAATATAACCGAGTTAACGTATGCTGGAGAAAGATTTCCATTACCAGTAGCAAGCGACGCAGATTCGGCTAGTAATTCTGTTAAGAGCTACAAGCTGAGCCCAAATGAACACTTCTCTCTGGATGTGCAGAGTGGTGGAGAGCAGAGTGTATCTGCTGAGTTAGTACTACAGAAAGCTTTAGATCGAGAAAAACAGGCTGTGATACAGCTCATACTGACTGCGTTAGACGGAGGAAAACCTCCTAGATCTGGTACACTGCAGATAGTGATAAATGTTGAGGATGTGAATGATAACACTCCTGCTTTCAGTAAACGGCTTTATAAAGTCCGTGTGGCTGAAAACAGTCCATTGGGAAGCACTGTAACTAAACTGGAAGCTACAGATTTAGACGAGGGTGTAAACGGAGAGCTAGTGTACTCTATATCAACGAGAGGGAGTTCAAAGATCTCTGATCAGTTTGCAATAGACTCAGTAACTGGTGAAATTACTATAAAGGGAAAGTTGGATCATGAAGAAAATCCAGCATATGAAATTCGTGCGCAGGCGAGAGACAAAGGCACCCCCTCCCGAGTGACACACTGTAAAGTGCTGGTTGAAGTTCTGGACGTTAACGACAACGCACCAGAGATCACTGTATCGTCTGTGATGAGTCCAGTAAAAGAGGACTCTACATTAGGCACAGTAGTGGCGTTAGTTACAGTGACAGATAAAGACAGTGGAAAAAATGGAGAGGCTAAAGCACACGTTTCAGATTCTGTTCCATTTAAGCTGAAACCATCCTACAAAAATTACTATTCGTTAGTTGTCGATGGTCCTTTAGACAGAGAGAGAACATCTCAGTATAACATTACTATAACAGCTACTGATGAGGGAACCCCACCACTTTCCAACACCAGTTTTATTATTGTGGATGTTTCTGATGTGAATGACAACCCGCCGCGCTTTCCAGAGCCCGTCATTAATGCTTATGTGAAAGAAAACAGTCAGATAGGAGCTGTAATTCATACAGTATCTGCTTTTGATCCTGATGTAGGTGACAATGCCAGAATAACATATTCGTTGCTAGAAAACTCTAAAAGCTCCTCAGTAACATCTCTGGTGAACATAAACTCTGACAGTGGAGATATTCACAGTTTACAGTCTTTTAACTATGAAGAAATGAAAACGTTTCAGTTTAAAGTTCAGGCCACAGACTCTGGAGCTCCTCCACTGAGCAGTAACGTGAGTGTGAACGTTTTTATCCTGGATGAGAATGACAACAGTCCCGGGATTCTCGCGCCCTATTCTGAGCACGGCTCCGTTAACACCGAGAACATTCCCTATTCTGCTGAAGCGGGCTACTTTGTGGCCAAGATCAGGGCTGTAGACGCGGATTCCGGTTATAACGCGCTGCTTTCTTATCACATCTCTGAACCCAAAGGAAACAACCTGTTCCGGATCGGAAGCAGCAGCGGGGAGATCAGGACTAAGAGGAGAATGAGTGACAATGACCTGAAAACCCACCCGCTGGTCATTGTGGTCTCTGATAGCGGAGAGCCCTCACTGTCAGCTACTGTGTCTATTGATGTCGTGGTGGTCGAAAGCACAGGTGACATCCAGACTCAGTTCAAACACGCTCAGATAAAGGAGGAGAGCTTCTCGGATCTAAACCTGTATCTGCTGATCGCCATTGTGTCGGTTTCAGTCATCTTTTTACTGAGCCTCATCAGTTTAATAGCAGTAAAATGCTGCAGGACAGACGGCAGTTTCAGCAGGTACAGCGCCCCAGTGATCACCACTCACCCTGATGGGAGCTGGTCTTACTCCAAATCCACTCAGCAGTACGACGTGTGTTTTAGCTCCGATACTCTGAAGAGTGACGTAGTGGTTTTCCCTGCGCCATTTCCGCCTGCAGATGCGGAGCTGATCAGTATTAATGGAGGAGACACTTTTACCAGAACACAGACTCTCCCTAATACAGAGAAGGTAAGATTAGACCCGTGTATGTTGCGTTACTGGTGTTTTTAATCTGTAAACTTTTAAATCGAAGAGATTTCAGTGCATAATGACTTTAGATATTTTATATGTGGTTCCCTGTTTTTCCACGTGATCACATGAACTGAGTAAGCTTGTTTTTTGTTCGCTGTCCATGGTTCTGAAACGCAGTTATTTATATATATATATATATATATATATATATATATATATATATATATATATATATATGTATATATATAATTTCTGCTGTGCTGCTATATTATTAGAAGCTAATGTTGACTTGTGAATGTACTGACTCACGTTCAAGTTTGAAATGGTTTCTCTTACTTTCTGTAGAATTTTTCGAGCGTGTTTTTTTTATCTTTGTTCTCTGGTTTTTACTGTCATACTCTATCACTGCTTGATTTGTCATATGTGTTTCAGTAATCTTAGATGAAGCCCAGGGCATTTACTTTATCTTCTCTTTTATTTAAATGATTGAACAGGACGCATTGCAGCGAAAGTATTTGATATTTAAATTAGTCATCTACTCTTCTTTTTAGAGCACATTTGCATTTTTATTTCTTGGATGATTTCATTACTATATCACTTTCTTCATATAATCTTCAATGTGTGTTTTTGTAGTCCATACATTTCCACAAGGCGTCACTAGCTCCCTACACTTACCGCTTCCTCAGTTTCACGAGACTCCTCCTCGTCTGGGGGCAGGGCGTGCACATTGGAGCAGCTAGCGCAGGGCTTTGTTCGGGCGACGCAACAACAACTAAAATATTTTCCTCTGTCCGAGCGGTGGATTAATGTATACAGTGATGCGCTCGGATTTCAATGTTGTCTGGATGATGATCTGGTAGTGGAATTTGGACAAAATGATCGACCGAGGATCTCTCTCACGGATCATTTTTACTTCGCTTTGTTGTCTTTTCAGCATTGTGAATGGGCAGATTGTGTACTCTGTATCGGAGGAGAGTAATCCGGGCACTACAGTGGGTAATTTAGCCAAAGATCTGAACCTCAATGTTCAAGACTTGGAGCTTCGTGGATTTCAGATCGTTTCGGGACCTAATACGAGATATTTCGATGTTAATGTGAAAACGGGAACTCTGCTTCTGAAAGAGAGGATAGATAGAGAGGACATATGCGGACGCAGCTCGAAGTGCTCGCTAGAGCTGGAGGCCATCGCTAAATCGCCATTAAACATGTACAGGTTTGAAGTTAATGTTTTAGATATCAATGACAATGCACCTGAATTTCGCTTGCCTATATTATCGCTAAATATATCTGAGGCTGCTGTACCGGGTGAAAGATTTGCGTTACCGAGTGCATATGATGCTGATGTGGGCAGTAACTCGGTTAAGAGCTATAAGCTGAGCCCGAATGAACACTTCTCTCTGGATGTACAGAGCGGAGGAGAGCAGAGTGTATCTGCTGAGCTTGTGCTGCAAAAAGCTTTAGACCGAGAGAAACAGCCTGTGATTCAGCTCACATTGACCGCCATAGACGGAGGAAAACCTCCACGAACTGGGACCATAAAGATCAATGTAGATGTAATAGATGTAAATGATAATGTTCCTGTCTTTAGTAAACCGCTGTACAAAACACAGATACCAGAAAACGCACCGCCTGGAACTTCAGTTATCACTGTTCATGCAGAGGACGCTGATGCAGGATTAAACGGAGAGGTGGTGTATAGTTTCATAAATCATAATAATGACAAGAATATTGAGTCATTCCAGATTGACAGAGTAACTGGTGAAATAACGGTGAAGGGGCAGCTAGATCACGAGACAAGCAGCGCAGTTGAAATTCGAGTACAGGCGAGAGACAATGGACACACACCTCGGGCTGCGCACAGCAAAGTTTTGATTGAAATTATTGATGTTAACGACAATGTACCTGAAATATCTGTAACTTCTTTAGAAAACAATGTGAAAGAGGGATCACTTAAGGGAACAATGGTGGCACTTATAACAGTGAAAGATGAAGATGCTGGCCAAAATGGGGCCATAAAACTGAAAATACTCGATGCTGTTCCTTTCAGAATACAGAACGCATACAAAAATAAATACTCATTAGAAGTAGATGGTCATTTAGACAGAGAGAGAACATCTCAGTATGACATCAGTTTGATTGCCACTGATGAAGGGACCCCACCTCTCTCTAGTTCCACTGTAATTACTGTACACGTTTCTGATGTGAATGATAACCCACCGCGCTTTCCAGAGCCCGTCATTAATGTTTATGTGAAAGAAAACAGTCAGATAGTAGCTGTTATTCATACAGTATCTGCTTTTGATCCTGATGTTGGTGATAATGCCAGAATAACATATTCATTACTTGACAATTCTAGCCCAGTTTCATCTCTGGTGAACATAAACTCCGCCAGTGGAGATATTAACAGTTTACAGTCTTTTAACTATGAAGAGATGAAAACGTTTCAGTTTAAAGTTCAGGCCACAGACTCTGGAGCTCCTCCACTGAGCAGTAATGTGAGTGTGAACGTTTTTATCCTGGATGAGAATGACAACAGTCCCGGGATTCTCGCTCCCTATTCTGAGCACGGCTCCGTTAACACCGAGAACATTCCCTATTCTGCTGAAGCGGGCTACTTTGTGGCCAAGATCAGGGCTGTAGACGCGGATTCCGGTTATAACGCGCTGCTTTCTTATCACATCTCTGAACCCAAAGGAAACAATCTGTTCCGGATCGGAAGCAGCAGCGGGGAGATCAGGACTAAGAGGAGAATGAGTGACAATGACCTGAAAACCCACCCGCTGGTCATTGTGGTCTCTGATAGCGGAGAGCCCTCACTGTCAGCCACTGTGTCTATTGATGTCGTGGTGGTCGAAAGTACAGGTGACATCCAGACTCAGTTCAAACACGCTCCGATAAAGGAGGAGAGCTTCTCGGATCTAAATCTGTATCTGCTGATCGCCACTGTGTCGGTTTCAGTCATCTTTTTACTGAGCCTCATCAGTTTAATAGCAGTAAAATGCTGCAGGACAGACGGCAGTTTCAGCAGGTACAGCGCCCCGGTGATCACCACACACCCTGATGGGAGCTGGTCTTACTCCAAATCCACTCAGCAGTACGACGTGTGTTTTAGCTCCGACACTCTGAAGAGTGACGTAGTGGTTTTCCCTGCGCCATTTCCGCCTGCAGATGCGGAACTGATCAGTATTAATGGAGGAGACACGTTTACCAGAACACAGACTCTCCCTAATAAAGAGAAGGTAAGAAGCCGGCTACCTTTAATGTCACCAATTTGTATGATTATGGAGCATAATTTTACAGGTCTTCATAGCCTCCAGTATTATCCGTTACCAGTATAGGGTCCGAGAACCTTGGTTTCAAAGGCTATTTAAAAAATTCCAGTACTTATTATTATTATTATTATTATTATTATTATTATTATTGTTGTTGTAGGTGATAATAGAAGAATTAACAGCAGGAGCAGCAGCAGCAGCAGCAGTAGTAGTAGTAGTAGTAGTAGTAATAATAATAATATAATAATAATAATAACATTAAAAAAGGTCCGTAGATGTAGAAAATTCTCCTTTTCTCTTGTATTTCTTTGTTTTGCTATGATTTATACGTCATCATCAGATCACATTTACTACGAAAACGATTCCATCAACTGGTCTTTCTATATGCTGTGCATTGGTTTACAGTGTTCATAGATATTTCAAATGTATTTTGTCATATGTGGACTCAATTAATGCAGGTGTAGTTTCACACAAAGTGATTCATAAGACCAATATATTTCTAACTTTTTTTTATCAGTGATTGTCTGCCTCCTCTACTTTTATAAGTTCTCTCAGACTTGCGGTATCATATATGTTTCTGTTTTATTGCCTCTTTTAACAGCAAAAAGTTGTAATTTTAACGTAAATATTATATTTGCTGAAGTACCGAGAACATTACCCGCAGTTCACCACAAGGTGTCACTAGCGACTTGCAGTTCCAATCATTCGCCTTTTTTGTCCCGTGGCTCCTCCTTTCCTGTTAGGACCTCCTCCTCCACACACAGGGCTTTGTTCGGGAGATGCAACGAGACTGAAATCGTCATTTCTCCATTACAGTGTTGAACCTTGTCGCGATGCAAACCAGTGTTGTTTATTTTCTCCAGATATGTTTATGACGCTCTGGATTATGGCTGAGTCGAGGGGGATTTATTGCCTATTGTGGATATGCGGCGTTTCACTGTGTTTCGTTTGGAGTGTAGTGGATGGACAGATTGTATACACTGTTTCGGAGGAAGCAAGCGCAGGAACTGATGTTGGAAATCTAGCAAAGGATTTAAATCTGAATGTGCACGACCTTGGACATAGAGGATTCGAAATCACTCCGGGACCAAATAAAAGGTATTTTGGTATAAATTTAAAGACGGGGATTCTACACATTAAAGAAAGGATGGACAGAGAGGAGCTGTGTGGGCAAAGCACGAAATGTTCGCTGGAATTAGAGGCCATTGTTAACTCGCCTTTGAATATGTTTCGGTTTGAAGTGAACGTTGTAGATATAAACGATAATACACCAACGTTTCCATCGTCAAAAACAATAATAAACGTTTCAGAGTCCGCTTTTCCAGGTGAGAGATTTCCATTGCCGAGTGCGTATGATCCTGATGTGGGATCTAACTCGGTAAAGAGCTACAAGCTGAGCCCGAATGAACATTTCTCTCTGGATGTACAGAGCGGAGGAGAGCAGAGTGTATCTGCTGAGTTGGTGCTGCAGAAAGCTTTAGACCGAGAGAAACAGCCTGTGGTCCAGCTCATACTAACCGCTGTAGACGGAGGGAAACCTCCCAGATCTGGTACGATGCAGATAATAGTTAATGTTGAAGACGTGAACGATAATGTTCCAGTGTGTAACAAGACTCTTTACAAAGCTCGCGTAACAGAAAACTCTCCACCTGGCACGCCCGTTATCACAGTTCATGCTACAGACTTGGACGAGGGCCAAAACGGCGAGATAGTCTATTCTTTTATCAGTCAAAACAATAATAAACACGTTCAAGCATTTTCAATTGACCCAGACACTGGACTTATTACAGTACAAGGTGTTGTCGATTTTGAGACACAAAATGCAGTTGAAATTCGAGTTCAGGCTAAAGATAAAGGACATAAACCTAGAGCAGCACTATGCAAAGTTTTGGTGGAAATCATTGACATTAACGATAACGTTCCTGATATTTCTGTTAATTCATTAGTGGACACGGTGAAAGAGGATGCTCCTACTGGTACAATGATAGGATTGATAACAGTAAAAGATGGAGATGCAGGTAAAAATGGTGCTGTGATACTTAAATTTCAGGATTCTGTACCATTTAAGATACAGAACACCTACAAAAATAAATATTCTTTAGTAGTCGATGGCCCTCTAGACAGAGAAAGTACATCTCAGTATAGCATTACTATCACAGCTACAGATGAAGGGACCCCACCTCTCTCTAGTTCCACTGTAATTACTGTACACGTTTCTGATGTGAATGACAACCCGCCCCGCTTTCCAGAGCCCGTCATTAATGTTTATGTGAAAGAAAACAGTCAGATAGGAGCTGTAATTCATACAGTATCTGCTTTTGATCCTGATGTAGGTGACAATGCCAGAGTAACATATTCGTTGCTAGAAAACTCTAAAAGCACCTCAGTAACATCTCTGGTGAACATAAACTCTGACAGTGGAGATATTCACAGTTTACAGTCTTTTAACTATGAAGAAATGAAAACGTTTCAGTTTAAAGTTCAGGCCACAGACTCTGGGGCTCCTCCACTGATCAGTAACGTGAGTGTGAACGTTTTTATCCTGGATGAGAATGACAACAGTCCCGGGATTCTCGCGCCCTATTCTGAGCACGGCTCCGTTGACACCGAGAACATTCCCTATTCTGCTGAAGCGGGCTACTTTGTGGCCAAGATCAGGGCTGTAGACGCGGATTCCGGTTATAACGCGCTGCTTTCTTATCACATCTCTGAACCCAAAGGAAACAACCTGTTCCGGATCGGAAGCAGCAGCGGGGAGATCAGGACTAAGAGGAGAATGAGTGACAATGACCTGAAAACCCACCCGCTGGTCATTGTGGTCTCTGATAGCGGAGAGCCCTCACTGTCAGCCACTGTGTCTATTGATGTTGTGGTGGTCGAAAGCACAGGTGACATCCAGACTCAGTTCAAACACGCTCCGATAAAGGAGGAGAGCTTCTCGGATCTAAACCTATATCTGCTGATCGCCATTGTGTCGGTTTCAGTCATCTTTTTACTGAGCCTCATCAGTTTAATAGCAGTAAAATGCTGCAGGAGAGACGGCAGTTTCAGCAGGTACAGCGCCCCGGTGATCACCACTCACCCTGATGGGAGCTGGTCTTACTCCAAATCTACTCAGCAGTACGACGTGTGTTTTAGCTCCGACACTCTGAAGAGTGACGTAGTGGTTTTCCCTGCGCCATTTCCGCCTGCAGATGCGGAACTGATCAGTATTAATGGAGGAGACACTTTTACCAGAACACAGACTCTCCCTAATACAGAGAAGGTAAGACCGGATGAGTTTATGGAAAAATTTGGTTTGTCTTTTTCCCCCATGATTGCAGTGTAAGTCAGTGTTACTGTACGTGTGTATCGGATTGTGTGCTGTCTGCCCAGTTCACTGTACATATATAGATATTTGCGGCTCTAGCCGCTGTCCATGGTGCTGAAACGTGTCGTCTATTTTTATCTTAAACATAATTTGTAACCGTAATCCGGGTTTTCAGTTAATTCCCTCATGTGCATATAATTATTTCTCTTATTTAATTGCATAATTCTGGCATCATCGATTTAGGTAGACGAGCGTATTAATTTCGTTTTATTCCTTTAGTTGCACGTTCATAGATCCATATATGCCAAAGAATTGTTATCTTATATCATGGCATATGTTCGACTGTTTTGCTTTCTTATTCCTTCATGTGTCCATTTATCCGTAAATATTAGATCATATTAATGATGTTAATGATTTGAATTAAGCAAAGTTGTGTACCTGCTGCGTGTGATGTTAAGGTGTTGGTATTGTACTGCTACTTATATATATATATTATATATATATATATATATATATATATATATATATATATATATATATATATAGGCCACTGTTAAGGAATTGGTTTCTGGATTATGAATAAATTTTGTCGCTTATTTGCCGCCTACACAGAGTACCCAGCGCACGTGTTAATTTTAGCTAGTGTCACGTGTATTTCTGGTCTCGTTACCAGAAAATATGTAAAATACCCTCTTAGCTAAATGTAGACTGCCTTGTAGTTCTTCATTATATAATGTATCTATGCTCATGCTTACTGTAATGTCGTGTTCATGTTCATGTTACGATGCTGATAAACGTTTAAAACGCTGAGATAAACTAATGGTGTTCTTGAGATTAACATTGATCCAGAACCACGCTCACCGACGTTCGCCCAGCCACAAACATATCTTTTGATGCTTATGTACATGGAATAGTTATTGTACCTGTTCAGTAATCACGAAGTTGGTGAAGTCTACACCTTAACAAACAAGTCCCTTTGAACCTTCTGGCCGATGCTCCACAGTGACCAGGCTTATCTCAGGCAGATCCTAAGCAGTAGCTTAGTATTCACTCTTCATTACATTTGTTATCGTTTATTTATCATACATTAGGATGAAATTGCTTGTGTTGGTGGCAATACATTTTTCCTCCAGAGATATATCTATGGTCTTTTTTTCAAATGAGTTTGAGGAAGTACTGCATAGCCCAATATATTTTACCATACTTTATTTTCTTTCATATTATTTTGTCAAATACGATGTTCTGTTTCGTGCTTCCATTACAGCCAATGTGAAATGATTACATCGGATGTACCACTGTTTTCTGTTCTCTATCGACTGCTTATAGTTAGCCCTGTGAAATGTTGAATGCTGAAGGTCTTCCCGTAGTTTGATGATTTTGCAAAGACAGTAGTGTCAGTTTGTGGCCACACGGTGACAGTAGCTGCACACAGAGTGAAAATCGTCAGCGGTTGACTCCGCCTTTTTTTCTGACGACTGGGTTCGGAGAGGGCTTTGTTCAGGAGACGCTTCAGTGTTGGGTGTTTCTTAGCAGTGGACAATGGAATAAGATCAGGTCGACATTTAAGCTGGACCACAAGTATTATGCCTTTGGAATATAACATTTCTAGTGGTGCAGAACATGGCCACGATGTCTAAGAATGGATTTCAATTGTGGAAATTGTTATTTATGATTTCTCGCTTTTGGAGCTTGTCGACAGGACAGATCGTGTACTCCGTGCCAGAGGAAGTAAACACGGGCACTACGGTTGGAAACCTCGCTAAGGATTTAAATCTAAATGTTCAGGACCTTGTACATCGTGGCTTTCAAATTGTTCCTGGACCAAATAAGAGGTATTTCGATTTAAATGCAAAAACGGGAGTTTTGCACGTTCTGGAGAGAATAGATAGAGACGCGCTGTGCAGCAGGAGCTTAAAATGTACCCTCCCGTTGGAGGCTATTGTTAATGCGCCACTGAATATTTACCGCTTTGAAGTGAACATATTGGACGTTAACGATAACTCGCCTTCATTTCGCACTCCAGATATTTACTTAAACATTTCGGAATATGCTTTACCCGGTGAGAGATTCACACTGCCACGAGCGCACGACGCTGATGTGGGGTCTAACACGGTAAAGAGCTATAAGCTGAGTCAGAATGAATATTTTTCCCTGGATGTACAGAGCGGAGGAGAGCAGAGTGTATCTGCTGATTTGGTGCTGCAAAAAGCTTTAGATCGAGAAAAACAGCCTGCAGTTCATCTCACACTGACCGCTGTAGACGGAGGAAAACCTCCCACATCAGGTACAGCAAATATAATAATAAACGTAATAGATGTGAACGACAATATTCCTGGTTTTAGTAAACAACTTTATAAAGCGCGCGTGACAGAGAATTCACCGGTAGGGACATCAGTTATAACTGTACATGCTAACGATGCTGATGAAGGTCTAAACGGTGAAATTGAATACTCTTTTGTTACTCACGACAGCGACGTTGTTGATGAGTTTAGTATTAATCCAGTCACGGGCGAAATTTCTGTGAGAGGAAACGTTGACTACGAAACTAGGAATGCTGTCGAGATCCGTGTTCAGGCGAAAGACAAAGGAGCAAATCCCAGAGCTGCACACTGCAAGGTACTGGTCGAAATTATTGATATTAATGACAACTCTCCCGAAATAACTGTAACCTCTTTAGTTAATTTTGTGAAAGAGGACGCTTCTGTTGACACGATGGTAGCAATGGTGACCGTTATGGATAAAGATGCTGGAAGGAACGGAGAGGTTAAGCTTAAACTGATGGGCTCTGTGCCATTTAGTATTCAAAACTCATATAAGAATTATTACACTTTAATTGTAAATGGTCCTCTCGACAGAGAGAGCGCGTCTCAGTATAATGTCACTATTATAGCTACTGATGAAGGGACCCCACCTCTCTCTAGTTCCACTATAATTACTGTACACGTTTCTGATGTGAATGACAACCCACCACGCTTTCCAGAGCCCGTCATTAATGTTTACGTGAAAGAAAATAGTCAGATAGGAGCTGTAATTCATACAGTATCTGCTTTTGATCCTGATGTAGGTGATAATGCCAGAATAACATACTCATTGATAGAAAGCTCTAAAAGCACCTCAGTAACATCCCTGGTGAACATAAACTCTGACAGTGGAGATATTCACAGTTTACAGTCTTTTAACTATGAAGAGATGAAAACGTTTCAGTTTAAAGTTCAGGCCACAGACTCTGGAGCTCCTCCACTGAGCAGTAACGTGAGTGTGAACGTTTTTATCCTGGATGAGAATGACAACAGTCCCGGGATTCTCGCTCCCTATTCTGAGCACGGCTCCGTTAACACCGAGAACATTCCCTATTCTGCTGAAGCGGGCTACTTTGTGGCCAAGATCAGGGCTGTAGACGCGGATTCCGGTTATAACGCGCTGCTTTCTTATCACATCTCTGAACCCAAAGGAAACAATCTGTTCCGGATCGGAAGCAGCAGCGGGGAGATCAGGACTAAGAGGAGAATGAGTGACAATGACCTGAAAACCCACCCGCTGGTCATTGTGGTCTCTGATAGCGGAGAGCCCTCACTGTCAGCCACTGTGTCTATTGATATTGTGGTGGTCGAAAGCACAGGTGACATCCAGACTCAGTTCAAACACGCTCCGATGAAGGAGGAGAGCTTCTCGGATCTAAACCTGTATCTGCTGATCGCCATTGTGTCGGTTTCAGTCATCTTTTTACTGAGCCTCATCAGTTTAATAGCAGTAAAATGCTGCAGGACAGACGGCAGTTTCAGCAGGTACAGCGCCCCAGTGATCACCACGCACCCTGATGGGAGCTGGTCTTACTCCAAATCCACTCAGCAGTACGACGTGTGTTTTAGCTCCGACACTCTGAAGAGTGACGTAGTGGTTTTCCCTGCGCCATTTCCGCCTGCAGATGCGGAACTGATCAGTATTAATGGAGGAGACACTTTTACCAGAACACAGACTCTCCCTAATAAAGAGAAGGTAAGAAAAAAAATAACTAATGTTTAGCTTAGTACACATCCTCCTTACACTGATTGAGTTCTAAAGGAAAAATTAGCTCTGCCTTTGAATTGTAGAGCCGTCACTGTCATGGTAATTTCATGGCCAAACACTGTTTATCTGTTTTATTGTTTTCGTGTATTATGATTGCATTTTAGCCTTGGTTTTTGTCCAGATTAAGAAAAAAAGAACCTTAAATTAGATTATTTCCCAGTGTTCTCTTCATTTCTGATTATTTGTAAGTTGTAGATTATTCTGCCTTAAATACAGTCAAATAATTTGTACTCTATCGAATCTTATTAATTTATTAAATAACATGTTCATGGCATGAGATGAATGAATTGTCATGAATACATATAGAAATTCTGATATCTGTTGTTTTCATCTCATTTGCTGAGCGCCACCTTTTTTGCATTTTGATTCTTTGAATATCGACAGTTATTAAAAGACCCTTCTAGATTGGAAGAGATACACCTAGTTTTTAAATACGTAAATTTAATGGTACTATATGTGTTGGATATCTTAAAGCTTTTTTATATTGTGTTCGGGCGTCGCTAAAGGTTTGGGCTCTCCGTGGTGCTGAAAGCCCAACATGTTCTCCACCTTAGCTTTCCAGCGTTTATTCACTGATCAGATTTCCATTTATGCTTTCTTACATTTTCTCAGATATTACAAAATTTATGTTACATGTACTATTTTCTTAATGTATGTCTTTGATATTCTGATGGTTTGACGACTGTATTAAATAAGTAGGGGTTAATTTGTGAATGTTTAGGGCTCGCTCTAAAGATTACATCAATAAGGCAAATATAACCATACTGTTTTTTTTTATTATGAATGTAATATTTTAGTGTAAAGCAGCGCGTATACATATATCTTTCTTTCTTTGCGTGTTTCTTTCTTGTTACTGAGTTTGAAAACATTTTCCTCTGTGTCTTTGAGCTGTATTGTTTGTAGTTCTCCACACGGTGTCACTAGCTTCCTGCTCTGAATAGCTTATTTTGTGACTTCGCGATGCTCCTCCTTTTTTAATGGAAGGGGTGGTGGCCAGTCTGGCACTGGGCTTTGTTCGTGGTATTGTGTACAAATGCTGTGTAAGAGTGGTCCGTTTAAATGGTTGCTTTGAGCTCTATGGATGGATTTTCTTCGAACTGCGGCGTTGGGATAAAATGGCTTCCACTGTGGGACAAAGACTTCGACCGTGGATATGTTTGTCTCTTCTTCTTCATTGTTGGAGTATCGCAGATGGGCAGATCGTGTATTCTTTGTCAGAGGAAGCGAAACCAGGCACCGCAATCGGAAATTTGGCAAAGGATTTAAACATTAATTTGCAAGACATTGAGCGCCGAGGGCTTCAGATCGTGTCTGCAGAAAATAAGAGGTATTTCGAATTGAATTTGAAGACTGGTGTTCTTTCTGTTAAGGACAGAATAGACAGAGAAGAGCTATGCGCACAGAGAAAGAAATGTTCCATAGCGATAGAGGCTGTTGCTAATTCGCCACTGAACATTTACCGATTTGAACTGAACGTATTAGATATTAACGACAATTCACCGACATTTCGGGCAGCAGTAACGGAGTTAAATGTTGTTGAATCAGCTTTTCCAGGAGAGAGATTTCCATTACCGAGTGCGTTTGACGCGGATGTGGGCAGTAATTCGGTAAAAAGCTACAAGCTGAGCCCGAATGAACACTTCTCTCTGGATGTACAGAGCGGAGGAGAGCAGAGTGTATCTGCTGAGTTGGTGCTGCAAAAAGCTTTAGATCGAGAAAAACAGCCCATGATTCATCTCACACTGACTGCTGAAGACGGAGGTAGACCTCCAAGATCTGGTACACTGCAGATTACTGTAAATGTGGAAGATGTTAATGATAACATTCCTGTTTTTAGTAAGTCGCTGTATAAAGCGCGTGTGCAGGAAAACGCACCGCCTGGCACAACTATTGTTAAAGTTCACGCCAGTGATTCGGATGAGGGTCCTAACGGTGAGATTATTTATGGTTTTTATAATCACGACAATGATCAGGACATCAATGTATTTTCGATCAATTCAGAAACGGGAGAAATCACAATAGAAGGTGAAATTGATTATGAGAGGAAGAGCGCTGTTGAAATTCGGGTTCAGGCTAAAGACAAAGGACAGAAGCCAAGAGCTTCGCATTGTAAAGTCTTGGTCGACATAATTGATGTTAATGACAATGTACCAGAAATATCTGTTACGTCGTTAGTGAACAAGGTTAGAGAGGATGCTCAGGTAGACACAACTGTTGGAATGATAACAGTGATAGATAATGACTCTGGTAAAAACGGTCAAGTAAACTTGAAAATGATCGGATCTGATCCGTTTAAGATACAAAATACGTATAAGAATTATTACACTTTGGTTGTAAATGGACCTCTCGACAGAGAAAGCACGTCTCAGTACAATGTAACGGTTATAGCTACTGATGAAGGGACCCCACCTCTCTCCAGTTCCATTGTAATTACTGTACACGTTTCTGATGTGAATGACAACCCGCCCCGCTTTCCAGAGCCCGTCATTAATGTTTATGTGAAAGAAAACAGTCAGATAGGAGCTGTAATTTATAGAGTATCTGCTTTTGATCCTGATGTAGGTGATAATGCCAGAATAACATATTCAGTAACATCTTCAGTAACATCCCTGGTGAACATAAACTCTGACAGTGGAGATATTAACAGTTTACAGTCTTTTAACTATGAAGAGATGAAAACGTTTCAGTTTAAAGTTCAGGCCACAGACTCTGGAGCTCCTCCACTGAGCAGTAACGTGAGTGTGAACGTTTTTATTCTGGATGAGAATGACAACAGTCCTGGGATTCTCGCGCCCTATTCTGAGCACGGCTCCGTTAACACCGAGAACATTCCCTATTCTGCTGAAGCGGGCTACTTTGTGGCCAAGATCAGGGCTGTAGACGCGGATTCCGGTTATAACGCGCTGCTTTCTTATCACATCTCTGAACCCAAAGGAAACAACCTGTTCCGGATCGGAAGCAGCAGCGGGGAGATCAGGACTAAGAGGAGAATGAGTGACAATGACCTGAAAACCCACCCGCTGGTCATTGTGGTCTCTGATAGCGGGGAGCCCTCACTGTCAGCCACTGTGTCTATTGATGTCGTGGTGGTCGAAAGCACAGGTGACATCCAGACTCAGTTCAAACACGCTCCGATAAAGGAGGAGAGCTTCTCGGATCTAAACCTGTATCTGCTGATCGCCATTGTGTCGGTTTCAGTCATCTTTTTACTGAGCCTCATCAGTTTAATAGCAGTAAAATGCTGCAGGACAGACGGCAGTTTCAGCAGGTACAGCGCCCCGGTGATCACCACGCACCCTGATGGGAGCTGGTCTTACTCCAAATCCACTCAGCAGTACGACGTGTGTTTTAGCTCCGACACTCTGAAGAGTGACGTAGTGGTTTTCCCTGCGCCATTTCCGCCTGCAGATGCGGAACTGATCAGTATTAATGGAGGAGACACTTTTACCAGAACACAGACTCTCCCTAATACAGAGAAGGTAAGGATTTTGAGGGGGTTCCTGTTGTCAATATTCCAGTTCCCTGTTATCTATCTATCTATCTATCTATCTATCTATCTATCTATCTATCTATCTATCTATCTGTTCGTGATGACAACATTTTGTAGTGGTTGATTTTGGTTGATGTTTCTGAGTATCACGAGATGTTCAGTATCTTTTTTCATTACACGTGTCTCTCTCCGTAGTGCTGAAATCTTAGCGGTTTTTCCAGCAGTTAAACACGTTCACTGCTGTTAAATGTGTTGCTTTATAGGTATTTCTTAAGTCCAGTTTTGTGATTAGATTGTTTGCAATCATGAAAATAATGTTCTATTTTATCTTGGTATGTTATTGAATATGACACTGTCGTGGACAGTTTCCTCTTTTTCATATTTAGGTTATATATGTATGGCTTGTAAGGGAAAATCTCATTTTCATGAATTGAATCAGATACACTTTTCACGTTTTGTCTAACGTTACTGCTTGTATTTGTCCACATGATGTCACCAACGTTCCACTCTCAGTTATTGCGTGACTTGGCTATGCTCCTCCCTTTTCGCGGCACCGCGATGTGTCTGCTGAGCAGAGGGCTTTGTTTGGAATACGCCATTGTGCTCGGACGCTGTTTAAACGTGGCTCAGAGAGATTTTCACAACTATGCGAATGGATTTTTACATTTTCTACAGAACTCTGGTATCGAGATAAAATGGAATCATCGACGGGGCAGAGATTTCAGTCGTGGATGTATTGTTTTTTACTGCTTCATTTATGGAGAACCGTGTCTGGGCAGACTGTTTTTCCATATCGGAGGAGGCAAACGCGGGGCACTCCGGTCGGAAATTTAGCAAAGGATTTTAACCTAAATGTTCAGGACCTTGAAGCGAGAGGATTCCAGATCGTCACAGAGGCGTATAGGAGGTATTTCGATGTTAATTTGAAGACTGGCATTCTCCATGTTAAAGAGAGACTTGACAGAGAAGAGCTTTGTGAACACAGCACGAAATGTTCTTTAGCATTAGAAGCTGTCGTTAATTCACCGCTAAATATCTATCGATTTGAAGTGAATGTGTTAGACATTAATGATAATTCGCCAGTGTTTCGAGCACACAGAAACCGACGTTAAATATATCCGAGTCTGCTTTTCCAGGAGAGAGATTCGCGCTGCCCAGTGCATATGACGCTGATGTGGGCAGCAACTCGGTAAAGAGCTACAAACTGAGCCCGAATGAACATTTCTCTCTGGATGTACAGAGCGGGGAAGAGAGCGTATCAGCTGAATTAGTACTCCAGAAAGCTTTAGACCGAGAGAAACAGCCTTTAATGCAGCTCATACTGACCGCTGTGGACGGTGGGAAACCTCCCAGATCTGGAACGATGACTATAGTTATAAATGTGCTGGATGTCAATGATAACATCCCGGTTTTCAGCAAGTCATTGTATAAAGTTCGAGTTAACGAGAACGCGCCATCCGGCACT